CAAAAGCCTTGAGTGAGGAAATGATTCTTTAGGAACAAAAAAGCTCTTTTGTCTGTGACATTTAGGACACTAGGCAGAATGGTCTTTCCAGATAAAGTTGGCTGGCGATGGGAAGAGTGGCGTCTAGGGGTCATAAAGCACCATGTCTGTACATATTTCCTGCCGACAGGCGCTCACTCCGTGTGCCAGTCCCATGTATTAATGTCACTACTTCCTTCTCCGTGTGGCGTCCAGGTCTCTTTGCTGAACAGTTCTGCCTGTGGCAGTTCTGCTGGGAGAGCTGGGAAGGAAGAATGCACTGACCCGAACATCTTCTTGAATGATTTGATTTTTTTTAGTTGGCTATTTCTAAATATTTAAAATTTTCTAAAAAGCAAGAGAAAAAGGTAGGAAAAAAGGGAAAAAAACAGCAGCTAGCTATTAATTTGTTTGAAACTGGACTCAGAGCTTAGAATTTGAGTGGGTATTGATGGACTGTACTGCTAATGAGTATGTTTAACAAACTTTTTAGAATAAAACAAAACAGACAAAAAGTCCTGAGCCCCCAGTGGTACCAGAGGTGTCACAGAATAAGTGAGTGTGAATATTAGCCAGCGCTAGAAAAGGAGCACCTTGTCAAAGGGACTTGACAGTGGATGGAGACCTCTGATCCTTTCTGTTAACCTTGTCATGGCTCCCCAGCTATGCGCCCCCTACCCTGGGGCATTTCTTTGATCTTTCATGTCCTGAGAAAATATACACAGGAATCATCTTTTTAAGTCCAAACTGGAATTATCACCCAGGGATTTGGTAAAAGAATCAGTTTGAGGTTCTACTTTTTAGGGAGTGGCTGGTAGGGGGCAGGTGGCGAGAAGAAAGGATCACAGGAAGAAAGGGTGTTTTCCTACCTTTTACTGACACTGCCTGTCTTGTAAGAAGGGGAGAAAAGTTACAGAAAAGTGAGAAAAAAGATATGAGCTTGTCTGACGCACCTCTTCCCGAAGATAATGGGCAGCTGTCAATTGGAACCAAGCCATGAGTGAAGGAAGTTTCATCCCTTGCACTGATCTGCGTAGTGTATCATTATGATCAGTGATTTTTAAAAATTGTTCTAACTTTTATCTGCTTTATAACTTTAGGTGTCTAAGAACAAAATGTAGGGCAACCAAAGGAAACCGAAAATGTGTATTTTCCTTCTTAGGTAAAATCAGTGCGAATCTTCATTAATATTTACCCAAAATATGTCACATTGGAAGTTAGTCTATCTTTGGAGCTTCTCTCTGATGCTCTCCTCAGAGTCCACAGCTCAGAATCGTCTCAGTCTAAAAATACTTCATAACTGAGGCTACAAGGACAGAATTCAGTCTGGGGGTAGAAGTGTCTGAAGAAAGACGTAAGATGTGCTTTCAATCACAGGGACTACTATTACACGAGGGGTGGTGATTGTATGTTCTCTGTTCCTAATGATGAGAAAGTGAAAGAACAAAACCCTGAATGAAGAGGAACTAGCACACAGTGAGGCTTGCTAAGAATGAGAGAGGAGGAGGGGTATTTTCGCGTCTCCCTTCTTGCGCAGCGTCTGGATTAGAAGACCCCGATATCCTAGTGGGCGTTGTGGAGATTCTCACCTCGGTGCAGGGGACGGACGAGAACCTCCAACTCACAGAGTCGAAGTAACCAAAACACAAAACCAAACGATAAAACAAAACAAAACAGTGCAAGTATGCAGAAGTTTGGTGTCAGGAAAAAAGCATTTGGGGAGTTGGTTTAAAATCTCTCTCCCATGGCTCATTTCCAGAAATGGCAATACAACAAGAGGTTGTGGGGTGGTGTCTGGAAATCTGTATGCATTTTGAAGCAGGGCAAGGCTTGAGAAGTCCAGATGTGGTGCTAAGGCCTCTGGCTTAGGTGCCAGGAGCCTGGGGTCCTCCCCTTAGTCCGTCCCTAATTCATGAAATGGTCCCGTCAAGTATCGGCTTCTTTGCCTAAACAAATCCGTACTTCATTTGGTCCTCCTGTCTGATGAGAAAAGAGCTGCAGAAGGTTTTCTAAGGTAGAAGAGCACTTTACCAATCTGATGGCATATTCTTTTTATCAACTCTTACATCCCTCATTAATCACTCTCCCAAATTAATCAGAAAAAGCCTTCTCTTCCCCCAGCTAATTTTACCCATGGAATTTCAAATCCACAGACACTAATTAGGAGCCTGTCCTGCGCGCAGACCTAGAGAACCCAGTCTGCTGCTTCCCACTTCTGCGATCACGGGCAAATTATTCATATTTCTGAGTTCCTATAACCTCATTTGTGAAATGAGGGTGCCTTTACCTGCCTCCCTGGCTGTCATGAGGATAAAATCTGTAACATCCCTGCTACCTTCTAGGAATCTGATCACTCCCACCCCCAAGTCCTTCCCTTCCTCTTTTCCCGTCTCCTTCTCCTGCTTTTGAATATGGCTGCCTCGTGACAGAGACTGAATGGAGACACTGGACTGGAAAACACAAGGTTCGTAGAAAGCTACCCAGAATGAATAGAAACGAGCTTTTTATTTTCTCCAAAAGCTCAACAAATTTCTCATGAAATATATGTGTACATTTAAACAATCTCAAAATGGTATTGTCCTCTTAATAACACAAAATACAAAGCTTAGAACTGGATCGCTTGGCCCCTTCTATTCTCATCTCCTCCCAGCTCAGAATGCTTGCATCTCTTAATAGCCAGCCTCTCTTAGATCTGCAGTTGGGCTCAACACATTCACACCTCAGCACAACCTTCTTTGTAGTTTTAGCCCTTTTCCATATATATATATATAAAATATAATATATATATATATTAAAAAACACATACACAAATATCTCCAGAAATGAGTCGGTGGTGCCTGTCCCTGGGCGTGTGGTGAGGCACACAGAATTCCCTTGGGGCTTCTGCAAGGCCACAGTGAACAAAACACATGGAAGTTCCAGAGGCTCCTGTCGTGGGGTTTAAAAAGCAAACAAAGGTAAATTTAGTGGGGTCTTTTCTGGCCTCAGCTCTGGAATGATTTTTGTTCTCTTGCTAAGAAGGAACTCAGGGGCGCAAATGGCTTGTGTCAGACAGGAGAACAAGGGAGCCATGTTTGGGTGGGATTTTGAGAATTACAGTTATGGCACATTTTATCCAGAAAAACTGCTGGCATCAGCAGAGAGCAGATATGGCACATGCCTTTGGGTACATGGATTTTCTTTTTCTTTTTCTTTTTTCTGGCGGCGGGTTCAGGGAGCCCTCATTGTTTCGGGTCCGTTAGTGGATGTGTAGCCTGGTGCTGGCATAACTGCAGTTCTCAGAGCGAGCAGAACCCCCAACCAGAAACTGCCCACTCTTTTCCTGCAGGCGAGCGCAACACGATGGGAGAAATGTCCTTGCAACTTGCACCTGACAGTGTCTTTGCAGGAGGTGGTGGCATGGCCATCCGACAGTCAGCTGAGTACCCGGGCGGTTGCCTCTGAAGCCACCTTCATATCTTGAATGCTCAGCCACAGAAGAGATCCTGGGGCAGAGGCTGGCCGGTCACCTCCCTGAGTCTAGGGGTCTAGAGGTGTGAAAAGTATTTGGACTGAAGCCCAAACTCCCTAGCGTGACACATGAGGGCTTTCCTGATACACCACTGGCCTGCCTCTCCATCTTCACCTTTGCTTCTGCCCCCTCCTCAAAGCCACTGTACCCCCCACCCACCACACATAGCTCCGTGCACCACACTGGCCCTGCACCCACTCACCCAGCCATGGCCTGCTTCTCTTTCACATCTGAACTTTCACCCCACTTTTCGCCTCAAACCCTCCCTAACCACCTCGCTTCCCAGGGGAACCTCTCCTCTGTGCTCCACGTAACACTTCACTCACAGGTGTATTTGTCTATCTACGTGTCTTTCTCTCCCATTAAACTGGGAGCTGCTGAAGGCAGAGTTTATGCTTTATTCATGTCTGTTCTCAGGACTAACACTTAATCAAAAGGGCTCAGTAAATGTTATCCGAGTGACTGACTAATTGAATGAATGAATGAATGAATCCTTTCAAGCAGCTCCTTAAAAGCAAAAATCCTACCCTCCCCTGCTCCCATCCCTCACGACTCTACATATTGGAAGCTAAAGCAATACAGTATTTCACGTTTTTCTAGAACGAGGAGGTATTTGGGGTAAGGATTCGCTGACAGATGGGCCTTTAAGTTTACGTGAGAGACTCTAATCCCATCCCCCACCCGCAGATATAGGGTTCCAAAGACTGAACTTGGTGTCCCTGAAAAATTCATCTGTGGAAGCTCTAATCCCCAAAGGGATGGCATTTGGAGATGAGGCCTTTGGGTGATAACTTAGAGTTAGATTAGGTCCTGAGAGTATCTCCTGATGGAATTAATATCCTTATGAGAAGAGGAAGAGACAAGAGAACTTCATCTGCCAGGTGAGGGCACAGCAAGAAGACAGCCAGCTGCAAACACAACCAGCCCCTTGATCTCGCACTTCCCAGCCTCCAGAACTGCGAGAAACAAACGTCTGTTGTTTAAACCACCCAGTCTACGGTATTTCGTTACAGCAGCCC